GAGATGGTTATTGGGGTGTCGAATGGTTGATTGCGCCTCGATTATGGTCTTTCCTGTTGGTAGTATGTTGTGTTATACGTTTTGCCATGGTTATGGTCATGCACTTCGCGTGGTTGTTTTTGACTTGCATATGGTTGTTGATTTTTTAGCATTTTGGCCCGAGGTATTTCATATGGACCGGTGTTGGATGGGGTCACGCATTGCAGCGGAGTTACGTTGAGATATGATCATTTGTGTTAGATTCGCGGGTCTTGGTTATACTATGTGTGATGGGATCATAGCATTGCGTTTGTGGTGGTACTTGTTGAGCTTGCGGGACGGCTCTCTCATTTGAATCATTTTCCATGTTTGAACACATTTGAATTGTTGCTTATTGGTGCACGGATTGCACGGTTTGTGGCTTTAGGTTGTATTGGTGTGGCATGTCAATAGAATAACTTTGTTTGATGAAATGAGGTCATTGAACCTAGAATGGGTGCTATTGGATTTGATTACGGTATGTTTGAAAGAATAATATCAGAAGTCAGCTTAGAATTTGGCTTTAGTTCTTGTTAGACGAGAGAGCTCCATAACTTGTTGATCTGATGAGTGGTTATGAGTTTCTATGTGTTTCTTTCATCATCGGCAGTGTACGAAGGTTTTGAACGAGGTTTTATTTGATATGAGGTTTATTGCCGGTACCGGGTTTGTTTTTTAGCAGCTACCAGTGTTTAAAAAAGCGCTCGCTTCATCGCTTTAAGCGAANCTTCTCGCTTTAAGCGAAATGGGGTTTGTCGCTTTTTCTCGCTTCACGCTCTTCACAACACTGGCAGCTACTGTGATCGAAAATTATTGCTACGAGAATGCGAGTTATGTGGTATATCATGTGATTACATATTGGGTTATGGTTATGACTTGACACAGCTTGTTCGGACTTATACAGTGTGTAGATGCAAGATTCGAGTCTTGTAATAAATTCCAGATGTTGGAAATTTGGTTCTAAGGCTTATAGGTTAAGGTTAAAAGAAGAATCTCAATCCATATTGTGTCCATGGGCTTTTATGGATTGAGGTGACGTGAGATCACCCATGACCATGAGTATGTGTATGACGGGTTTATACAGTGATTCGATGGCTTTGAAACGACTTTTGGCATGTTCGAGTACGAACGTAAATTTAAGTGGGGGAGAATGTAACGACCCAATCAGTCGTTTTGAGCTTTAGCATTCTGTTTGGTGGTTTGAAACTTTGAATAGCGTCATATGATGTATTATGACTTGCGTGTACAGTCGGTTTTTGTTTTCGAGTGGTTTGGGATTGATTTGGAAGAATGACTCTCGATTTGGAAGCTTTAAGTTGGAAGAGTTGAGCAAGGTTTGACTTTTGAGTAAACGGACTCGGAATTGAGTTTTTATGGTTCTGATAGGTTCGTATGATGATATTGGACTTGTACGTATGTTCGGATTCGATTTTGGAGGTTCCTATAAGAATTCAACTCTATTTCTCGAAAGTTGGCAACTTGAAGAACTTAAGAGTTCATAAGTTTTGATCAAGAGTTGACTTTGATGTTATTGGACTCCAATTGGTGTTTCGAGACTTTGGATAGGTCTATATAGTTGAATTGAACTTGTGTGCAAAGTTTGGAAGTAATTCGAAGTGTTTAAGTGTGATTCAGACACTCTTTTGAAAAGAATGAAAAGTTAACAACTTAAGAGAAATTCTATTCGGTTTGAGTCTCGATTCTTTGTTGTGATGTTCCCGTGGGTGTTTTGAGGCATTGGATAAGTTTGGATAATGTATTTGTACTTGTTGGTATGATTGGATAGGGTCCCGAGGGGCTCGGGTGTATTTTGGATCATTGGTTGAGAAACTAGTTAAGGATTTGGAGTTTGACCATGGTCAATATCGGGTCACGATGACCTTTTGACCGCGCGCGCACGTTCGTAGCGTGTTTTATAATTGAAATGCATTTATGGTTTGTGTCCGAGAGGTTCCAAATGAGTTTTGGGTGCTAAAACGAAAATTCTTTTGTTGCTGATTTTCTGGTGTCAAATAATTACGAAAATGTCATTTTTTGTCCCTTAAATTTTCAGACTTTCGGTAAAACTTCAAAACATCATATTGGGTGATTCAAAAGGCTATCTTGGGTGTAATCTCGCAAGGATTATGTTAGGCTTATCAAATGTGAGTTTAGGGGTCATCTAGGATCTGATTCGAGATAGAACAGCTGCTGCATTTTTTTGTACTTGTTTCGGAATTTAGTCACTTTTTCTCACAAGGTTTTGAAGCTTCGATTTGGACGATTTTGGAGGGGATTTTCACAATTTGGACTGGGGTAAGCATTTTTTACTCGAATTTGTTTATATTTCATGATTCCAACCTTGAATTTAGCGATTGTTTGATGAATCAAATTGAAGAAATTCAGATTTTAGTAAAACATTTCTAACACATAAATTGATGATTCGAAGGCCGATTTGAGGTCGGAATTGGATGAAATTGGTATGGTTGAACTCGTATCGGAATTTGTGAGTTTTGTCGGGTTCTGGGGTGTGGGCCAGGGGTTGACTTTTTGATTTTAGCTAAAGATCGAAGCTTTATTATTCGAAATCGTTTTCTATGGCTTTTATTTATGATATTAAGTTGATTTTGGCTAGTTTCGAGCCGTTTGGAGGTTGATACGCGCGGGATGGCGTTCTAGAGTATTGTTTGGCTTGCTCGTTATTGGATTTGGCTTGTTCGAAGTAAGTAACATATTTAAATTTGGATTTGAGGGTATTTAACCTTGGGAACTATGTTATTAGAGATGTATTGGGATGACACACATGCTAGATGACGAGCGTGCGGGCGTGCTCCGGGGTAATCATGATTCAAGTTGACTATTAGACTATGACCGGACTTGCTTTGCTGTTATATCTTGTTCTATCCGTGTAGTTGCTACTTGTTAAAGTAATTGAGCTATGATTCATATTAGAAATCATGTTTAGGCTATGTGCTTATTTAGTTGAGACCTAATGAGGCTATTTCTGTTGTTTTGAATTATCTACTCTAACTGTAATTATATACTCAGTCATGATTCTTCATTGCATATCATATCTCAGTATTTGTTCATCATTCACTGTTACATCACATGTTATCATTGTTTGGGTTGAGTGGTACGAGATTGTGGGCCCTTGAGAGTTGAGAGATTGATGACTGAGGTGGGCCAGAGAGCCGTGTTGTGAGTGTTATTGTGGATCGGGTTGCACGCCGCAGCAGGCCTTATTGGCTTATTTATCATTGTGGATCGGGCTGCACGCCGCAGCAAGCCTTACAGGCTTTTGATTAGCGCTTGGGCAGGATCCGTCCCTCCGGAGTCTGACATACCAGCACTGAGTGGAGGCATAGTGATATATATACACGTGCTTTGGTGAGGGGATTATGAGCCAGGCACCCGTACAGAGTTGAGTGATTGTGTGTGTATGTGTGATGAAGTGGGCAATTGAGACAGACAGCTTGAGTATGTTGAGGGTGAGAGTACCTGAGAATATCACCATTAAATCATTCATTTGACATGCATACTTGGCATGTAGGCATAGAAATGCATTTTCCTCATGCTAGGCGGTATTGTGGCATTCATGATTTGACATGTAGGCATTGAGATATATATTCCTCATGCTAGGCGGTATTGTGGCATTCATGATTTGACATGTACATATTGACATGTAGGCAATGAGATGTATATTCCTCATGCTAGGCGGTATTGTGGCATTCATGATTTGACATGTACATATTGACATGTAGGCAATGAGATGTATATTCCTCATGCTAGACGGTGTATGATAAATTGATAACTTGACGTGCATATTGACATGTAGGCATATAGATGTACTTTCCTCATGCTATCTGATAATGAAATGTCTTATATGTTGTTGAAAGTTTGGGAAAAATCATAGTTTTTTTTCCTGATATACTCATATTTTGGTGACTCCAATGAAAGATTTGGGCTTTACAGTTATACCTGAAAAGCATGTCTCCGTAACTGTGATTGAGCTGAGCATAATATCTTTTGAGTTATTGCTTGTACTGCCTTCATTATATTATTACGAGTTGTTATTTGGCTATCGGTGTTGGACTCTGACCGTTTTCCAAGCTCGTCACTGCTTTCAACCTAAGGTTAGGTTTGTTACTTATTGAGTACATGGGGTCGGTTGTACTCATACTACACTTCTGCACCTTGCGTGCAGATTTTGGAGCTGGCGGGAGTTGGCATTGAAGATGTACCTGCGTTCCGGTTATTGCTTCCTTGTTCATGGTAGCTTTAGGTTTGTAAATCTGTTTATGTATATTTCGAACAGAGCATGTATTTATTTCATACCAGCTTTGTAAATTCTAAGTTTTAGAAACTCATGACTTGTACTACCAATCTTTTGGATTTTGTATAAAAAGTTCAGTTATTTTATTTATTGATTCCTGTTTTCCTATTTGAGTGATGTTGTCTATCATTTGGCTTACCTAGCAGGTTGGGTTAGGTGCCATCACGACTAGCTAGATTTTGGGTCGTGACAATACTCTATACGTGCAGCCATTTTGTGCCACACCCTTGGCCATAATAGAAAAACTACCTGCTTCCTCTGAGAAACTAAAGGAGCAATTCAATCATGACGATTATAGAGGGAAGTAGTTCCATAACTCCAACGCAATGGAGAAAATTGATACTCCATTCATCCCATTTTATGTGAAAGTGTTTGATTCGACACGGCGTATAAGAAAGAAAGAAAGACTTTTGAAACTTGTGGCTTTAAATATGCCATAAGATATTTGTGACTACAAAAATATGTTATTAAGCATAACAGGGATGTTTAAAGCTAAATTTTTCTAAAATATAGAAATATTTCCTTTTTTTGGACAGAGTGAAAAGGAAAGTGTGTCACATAAATGGGACAGATGAAGTATGACATTTGATATTAAAAGATGCACGCATAAATATGGAATACAGTAGCCAAAATAAATTTTAGATAGACAGTCAGAAATTAAAGGACTCACAAGTGCTACTACTTCACCCGGATGCACCACGAAGTTAATATGTTGAAGTACTGGCATCTGTACAGTAGGCAAAGTGTCAGTTTTTCTAATTTCAGCCACAGAATTCTGTTTTCTAGAATAAGTAAAAAGTTCATACATAAAATCAGCAAGAAAATGAAATTATCAAGAAGATTGTTTCACAATCAGAACATCAAGAATTGAAATCAACTGCTTTATACTCCAAAACACGAATCATATAATCTTTTACCACATAAAAAGTTCTACTAACACACAGATGCAAATAGCTAAGAAAAGGATAAAGTGACCGACATTGTATTTGAGTCTCGTTGCGAAAAGGAATATTTGTTCTCAGATAATGAACCACATGCTGTGAGATCGAATAGACACGTATACCTTCACTCTTGAAGCATAGTAGAAGCTAACATTCTCAAATTCAATGCGTCCTGCTAATCCTTTTAACTTGGCTCCTACAACAATCCACAAAGCAGGATGAGAATATGCAGCCTCAGCAAAACATCTTTTTTCAGAGTACTTATTGCACCAATGGAGCTATTTCAGCTTACATGAGTTTATTCCATGCTGCATTTGGAAGGCATTAAACACCTCCCATCAGAAATTCTTTAATTAGATACTTAAAACTGTCAGCAATTTTGATTGGATGGAACTTTGCATCAAAGAGCGACTAATGTTGTTTAAGGACAGAGGTAAAGTGATTCTACACCCTCTCCATCGGTAGTTGAGAACACTTGCTTTTATGAACACCTAAATAATTTGTACCTCTAAGTACAAACCACTGCCTCCCCCTTCACCCCCAATGATATACACGCCATCTTCTACCATTTGTCAAGAAAACACAGCAAACAGTTGAGCCACCCTTCGCAAAACATCTTCCATAAAAGCCAGTCTTGAAGAAGATCTACAACTTCATAAAGCTTCTCTCTCAGAAATTTAAGCGTACACAGGGAACTTCAGGTATTTATCAGGCCTTCTACCTCAAGAAATTTCTCTTTGAAGCATAGGAGAGAAATTTCCTTTAACCGAATCATGAAATCATTCTTTGAACATGAATGGGCCTTTGCAGAAAGCCAAAGTATGAATACACACTGACTCTGGTGAGTCTATTTTGTGCCTAGTTTCAGTTTAACTTATACTTCGGCCATTAGAAGATTCAGTTAGCCAGAGGGATCTGCAGTGCATTAGAAAGTATTGATAATACCATTTATTAGCTAAATTTTATAACTGAGACAATATATCCAACAGATTACAAGCAACCAAATGACTGGAAAGAGCAAGCATAACAAATGAAGAAGAGGCATTGGAAATCCAATCCAAGAATGTAAAAGTGACTTGCTTTCCAATAATCTATACTAAAAGTTCTTTTTTCATTTCAAATTGTACATCATAGTTCGTCTTTCAAACCATCACAAGATAATGTCCCTTTGACTGAATTGAATCAATAATTACTTTCTTTTAATGTTATATTAACTCAAAAGTTAAATTTTCACCACTTCTTACATGTTTAAACATACAGGACTTCCCAAAATCTAAACTGAANAATTGAATAGATAATTACTTTCTTTTAATGTTATATTAACTCAAAAGTTAAATTTTCACCACTTCTTACATGTTTAAACATACAGGACTTCCCAAAATCTAAACTGAATATTTAAAAGGTTTGTACATTTCTTTCTTGCAAACACTAAAAACCCTCGTTGGGCGAACATGCCATGTCCTACCAAGATACTCAATATAAATACAGGGAGTAGATAAGTGAAACAAGAAGCTAGTTGGAAAATGATTTCACCTTTGTCAACGAATTGACCACTAGGTCTAAGATCCATTAATTGAAAAACTTTCTCACTTGCCCCAATAGACTGCATCAATGATGATAAATTGTCCCCCACCCACCATGTAGAATAAATCAACCATTCACTGTACAATATGAATTTTGTAAGTTGTTCTGCTGTAATATGACCAGCCAGAATTGACATTCCTCCTACCAGCACAGCAATAACCTAAAAGTCAAAGCACAAAATTGGACTTCACTTTAAATGATTAACTGAAAAACTTTCTTTCAAACAATTAGCAAAGAAAACTATTATTATTTGACCTGATCTAAAGACAAACAGTAGAATCTGCAGATGATTATGAAAAATTATCTGATTGTAAATGAGAAGCATCTATCTCTTTCTATCCAAAACCATTGAAAGGAAATGGTTGTGTATGCTTCATTAGATGAAACTGTGAATTCCAGAAGTTTCTCAAGTAAAAATATGCAAGTCGTGGAAGTGCTAAATGATGTAGGGATGCATTTTCAGAGAATACTTGAGATGCTGGGAGCATTAGCCAAAAATATTGTTTACGAGGTTGCACTGACAGGGATATGAGTGTCATACACAAGGACAGGGTTGTATTTGACACATATACCTTTAATTTCAACTTTTAGCACAATTTTCCAGCTGCATTTGAAGGAGCTAGACGATTTACTTGTCTGATGGAACATGAAGGGTGACATAGGTCTACAAAGAGGAATTGATGCAAAAATATAAAGGGCAAGGTAAGAGAAATCAAGGTAAGACTTACAATTTGCAAGTATAGGGTTTAAGTTCTGCACGGAGAATGTATCAACTAAGAGAAAAAGCAGTTGATAGCAAGAAGACTGGTCAAACAATCAACACCTCTCTAGAAAAGGAACCAAGCAATAGCGCAAACGTGTCACTCAAGAGACACAGTAGCATGCAGTTTAGCAAGGTGTCACCCACTGATATTTAAATAGTTTTTAACATTCGGGATTCAGATGCTGCATATATATATATATATATTGATAAATGATGCTGCATAAATACTTTTAAGTAATGCAAATGGCTGAGTAATGAGATGTAACAATGTCTAAATGCTGGAAAGCAAGGGCTAAAGAAGAGTGTGTTTTCCATGTGAAAGATCTTTCTGAAAATCCATCGATCATTTTCCTTCATAGTAAATTTAAATTGATCTTGGAGAAAGCATTCCCTGTTATGTTTAGCTTCTGTATTACATTTGTTTTCAGAACATAGAGCTCCCGATTTTTTAAATGTCTTTCTTTCAAAGAGAATTCCTCATTTATCAACCAAGGAAAAAAGATGGAAGGTACAAAGGAGAAGAAAGATACTCTCGTGTTCAACTGTGGAAAGAGTTTGACCTGTGTTGAGTGATAGAGTGTGTTGAAGCTAAAGTTCCAATATCCATAAGCAGCACTTTGACGCAAGCTTATATCAGCTAACTTCCCTAGCCACCGTGCATACCTGTTCTAGAAGATGGTCATTTTCGAACTCTTGTTAATACTGAGCAGCTTGATATAATTATATTTTGCGTATGTTCTATGCTTACTCCTGGCAGTGCTAAACAAAACACAAAGGGAATAAAATCCCTTCTGTTAAGTAATACCTTCCCAGTTCTTGTTCCTCAGTTCCATACACTCGTACAGTCCTCATGAGGGAGAATGTCTCTTGGGCAACCTACATCACATCAAAGGATATGAAATCATTAAAAATTTAACTTATAACATCTTGGGAAAAAATGGACCAATTAACTTCTTAAGATTACTTCATTTGCAGAAGCAGTGTACTCCTGAATTAATTTAGCTGCTTTCTTCTGGTATCTATGAAAAGAAGCAGGCACAGAGAGAGAGAGACAGAGAGTTAGAAGAAGTTCAGGAAATCATAAATTGCAATAATTCTCAAGTATAAGTTTTTTTCACCTACTTGAACAAGGTATTATGGTACTCATTTGCTACTAAGAGAATGTAGCATAATATAGCAACTAATGAAAATGCGATTTAAAAGAAGAGACCAATTCTATAACTAGAGTTCACATGACTGTGGATGGGAAATTGGTTCAAAGACCAACTTGGCCCCTTTTTTCAAGATAACCAAGAGTGGCCTTATTCCGGCTTCAAAGCCTGATGAATAATGCCCCTCCCCAATCCCCAACCCCAACCCTTCTCTACTTAAATACCAGACTTGGTTCACCATTTTGCTATTGGACCAAAACCCTGGGGCAACAAAGGCTAGCTTGGCCCTTGTCACTATTTGTTTAATTTCCTAAAGTAAGAGTTAAGTTCATCTCTTACTATAAAAAAGTCAGTCCTTACATTATCAACTCAAAAAAGTAGTGACCAAAAGTTTTAGTAAAACGGTTATCCTTGGAACTTCTCATTTTTAATAGATGTAAAACCATGCACGGTATACTGTCACCTACATCTATCTGGTAAATAAGATTCTAAGTTAATATACATCTGATTCATACCAGTAAAACAATGAGCGAAAACTTACTGGCCATACAACAGCATTATCGTAAGAAGTGCACAGCAGATAACCAATGTGCACAATCCCAGTGGTGGGGACAAAATCAACAAATAAGCTAAAGCACCTGTTCCCTGGAAAGGACAAAAGTAAATTACCAACTCAAAAATGAATATCGGAACACATTAGACATCTTAGGAAATCTTACCTGGAGAACATTACGTAAAATCAGATTTAGGTCATTTCCAATTACGCGAGAGACTTGTTGACAATCTGCCCCTAGCCTACTTGTCAAATCACCAACTGTTTCAGAATCAAAAAAGGATATATCCTACAAAGAGGGTAAGCAGAAATATATAAGGATCTGCGCTTCATATAGAAGCAATTTTGATGATGCTTTAGTTGTGTTTAAGCAAATAGGAATTCCTGAAACCTGAAGAAGAAGAGTGGAATACAATTTTTCCCTCATTCGCTGGACCTGCAAACGAAGATGAAGTGCAAGGCGATTAAACCATCTTTGTTTCTTGACGACTTTAACCTTTAAAAGACTATTTAAATGGTCCTGATTTTATAGTGTCTGATAGAAGTAAAGATACAATACTAGATGTTTAGGCCAGTTCATGACAGACACCAGTATAACCCCAACAAAAAGACAATACGATTATATGTATATGATCACTGCATTGTTCTATTCTTCTAAAATGTGATGTAAGACTCACCAGGATCATATTTGCGAGCCCAAAAAAGCAACCTCGCACACCACTATTGGAGAAGCAGATGAACAAGTATGTATGTTAGGATACTCGCAAAAATGCAGGTAAGTAGGGTGACAATGCAAAATAATACTAATGTGCATTATGTCCGTTTGAAATGATACAAAAACCTGCATATTCCGGAAATGATGCAGAGCACTACCAAGATGCGCACATTCCGGTGGAACACTGTGATACTGCTACTTTGCGCCGAAAAGATGGATGCTGTCAGAAAATGCGGGATACTAATTTCTGATAACTGATGCGAAGTAACTTCCTGTTAGTAATTATTTACTCCTACTATTTTCTTTTGTCCAATTTAGAAAGAAAGAAAAAAACTGTTCGTTCACGTACAGCAGTAATAATGAGTGCAGTAAAAGCAGCAAGAATAAGCAAACCATCTTGAGCTATCAATTCCCACATTCTATGAAGAGCACGCACAACAGTCACAGGCTTTGCCGTTACTCCAACATCATCCACATCAAGCCTCCACCAATTTCCGCCCGGAAATACATTCCGAACAAATTCCATCCATTTCACCCCCAGCTTCTCACTAGAATCAGCTTCTTGTACGGAGTATCCATTAATTGAAGCCGAATTTAGGGGAGATATGTACCGATATCGCTGATTTATCGAATTGCTAGAGAAAGAGATTCGGGTTTTGGATTGAGACCTTTTGTGAAGAATGTTCTTTGGATTTTGCCTTTTCTGTACAGAATATACAATTCTTACTCCAGGTTGAAATTGCACACTTGACAGAAACAACGCCATATAGCAATAATGAATTAACAGAGCAGAGGAATTGAACCTTTAGTTTCAAGACTCGAATTTTGTGGGAAATTGGTGTCTTCTCAAATAAAACGAGATTGTACTTGTGAGGCTCTGGGCTTCCCAAAATTACTTCCATGTGTTTCCCTTTGAAAAGAAGGGACCCACAATATAATATGATGACGTGCTTCTTTGAAGAACTAGTGTACTAAAAAAGAATCAAATCAAAACATAGTTATAGTTAAAAGAAAATGAGAGAATGAAACAAAACCAAATTACAGTATATTTGGAGAAGAGAAGCAGAAAAAGAAACACAAAGATGTTAACTTTCTCATACCTATATAAGGTAAAGAAATGGCAGGTTAAAAAGGGAAAAAAATAAAAAGATGCGCATAGCCTTAAAATGAATTCTATGAATCTGGTCGGAAAAGAATTTCTCTGAGTCTGGTTTACATTTAAAGATTATATGAAAGCAAATTTGCAAACAAAGAGCTCTAATTTTCTTGATAATTTTCTTCATTGGGTCAGAAAATGAATCTAGTAGTGTTTACCCGAAAAAACGGATAGAGTTGAATTTATACGTAGTTCTAAGGATACGTGGTATAATTTGGTACAAATTGAAAAACTAAGTAGAAATATATCGAATATTGACTGTAAAAAGGAATGAATACAAACCCAAATTGAGTAGAGAATGATTGATAAATAAACAAGATGAATCAATATCAAAAGCCCAAAAAAGGATAATATTTGCTATATGTTATGTAAATCTCAATAATCTCTTAATGTGAGAATGTATGAATGTATCTCAATATGCCTTTTACAAATGATAGCCACTCTTAATATAGTGGAGGAATCCTACTTTGGATATAATTAAAAATACATAGTGAGATCCTATGATAGATTAATTAATTAGTTTTTCCTTGATTTCCGCCGAGATTCGATTTTGGTCGGTCTCGGTATTGGTCGGTTTCTGGGTCTCGAGCTCGATATTGACTCGAGCTTGATTGGTCTCTGGGACTCGAGCTCAATATTGACTCGAGCTCGATATTGATCGGTCCCTGGATCTTGAGCTCGATAACCCAACTTCACATCATAGCTCGATATTATAATGACGACCATCGGTCCATCATGCTTCAATCTTGACTAATCATACGAAGGGCAAACTCGGTTTTGACCGTATACAGATAGTCTCATCGTTTCTCGGAAAGGAAGTGGCGAGAAATGATATGATTTTTCAACCTCCGACTAGATGAATACTGACGTTTGCGACGAGCCCGATTGTGACGTATGTGACAAACGTCCCGTCGGTCCAGTTACCAAGGCATTAAATGCGCGTCAGTCGATGGTTGGTCACTGCCAATTTTGGACCGTCGATGTGAAATCTATAAATAGCCCATTCCTTCATTATTTCAAACTTTTACCTTTAAACCTTTTTCATTCCAATCTTCGCCTTCTCCAAAGCTTCCTATTTCCAGGTTTTGGAATTTCTTTTCTTGTTCTTCTCAAAACACCAAACACTTCAATCTCCCTTCTTCTTTGTTCACAGAAATTTAGATGGCGAAAACGTCTAAAACCGTTCCGCAAAAAGAGGTCGTTGCTTCATCACGACCCGCCGGCGGTGAGGATGCGGCGGAGCCTCGCCTTGATGAATTCTTTCCGGTAGGGTGTTCAACTGTCAGTGATTTTAAGGTTGAAAAACCTTCTTCGGTACCGGGCCGATGTGAGCCGATGTCGAGGTACCAGTGTACAATCACCGAGAAAATTCTCGAGAAAGTCAAACAAGAATGCAAGTGGGATGATAAGCATGTGGTAGTCCCATCGCCTGATGAATCAATTACTACCCATGTGGAAGGTTTCCTAAGTGGCTATACTTATCCTTTCATGTTGGGTCCTTTAGACCCTGTCATCGTCGCCTTTTGCAAGAGATATGACGTGACCCTTGGCCAGGTCCATCCTTCTTTTTGGAGAATAGTGATTCTTCTCCGATTTTTCTCGAGCAAAATCGAGGGGTATCTTTTCACCCTCGATCACCTTATGCGCCTTTATAGTCCCAGACTTTACCGAAGAGGGTTAATCAAGCTTCCTCGCCGAGCCACCAAAGCGCCGTTCTCGAGTATAGACGAGACTCGTGATCGAGGTTGGATGGATCGCTTTGTTCGAGTCAAAACCTTGGACCTGATCCCTGCCGATGACATGCCGGTTCCTGAGAAATGGAATATGAACCGTGAGCACTTATTTCCCTTTGTTCGTTTTAATTTTGTGACTGCCTTTCATTTTCTTGATCCATTTTTGCTTTCTTGTCACAGTCGTGGCTCGGATGTCGGAACCGATTCCGGATCTTAAACAATGGGTTGAAGGTCTGGTGTTGCAGAGACCGTACTCCAAGCGTGCTTGGGTGGAATTATCAAAGGGTCGATGGGAGGTCCGTAGTCATGGTAAGTCTCTTTCTTAATTTGTTTGTCATTTGTTCTTCTTTACTTGTTTATCCCCCTTTTTCCCTTTGTAGGACTCGGGAAGGATGTTTCCATGAGGCCCCCATCTGGTGATGAAGAGGTTCCTGCCCCGAAGCAGGTTAAAGAAAAGAAGAGAAAAGACGTACCGAGTTCCCCGGTCTCGGAAAAGAAAAAACCGGCTAAGAAATCTCGCAAGCCAGAGGGGGGCTCCGGTGTCATGCCTTCGGAATCGATTCGCCGATTAAGCTCGTCTCACACTCGTCTGACCATCTGAACGGGGCACCCTTCTGGGTCAACCTGGTCAATGGTGCTGCTATAGATAAGAACCCTTCCACAAACCGACGGTAATAGCCCGCCAAACTTAAGAAACTCCGGATCTCTGTGGCTGAAGTGGGTCTGGGCCAGTTCTGAACTGCCTCAATCTTCTTAGGGTCCACCTGAATGCCCTCTATTGATACAACGTGCCCCAAGAAAGAGACCGAATCCAACCCAAACTCGCACTTTGAAAACTTAGCATATAACTGGCTGTCTCTTAGAGTCTAAAGTACAATCTGAAGATGCTGCTCGTGCTCCCCTCAACTGCGGGAGTAGATCAAGATATCATCAATAAACACAGTAACAAAGGAGTCCAAGAAGGGCTTGAACACTCAGTTCATCAAATCCATAAATGTTGTTGGGGCATTTGTCAACCTAAAAGACATCACTAGAAACTGATAATGCCCGTACCGAGTCCGAAAAGCTATCATAGGGACATCGGATGCCCTAATCCTCAACTGATGGTAGCCAGACCGCAAATCAATCTTCGAAAATACTTTGGCACCGTGAAGCTGATCAAATAAGTCATCAATCCTCGGCAAGGGATACTTGTTCTTGATGGTGACTTTGCTCAACTGCCGATAATCTATGCACATCCTCATCGATCCATCCTTCTTCTTCACGAACAACACAGGCGCACCCCAGGGCAAGACACTAGGTCTAATGAAGCCCTTATCAAGCAAATCCTGCAACTGCTCTTTCAATTCTTTCAACTCTAGCGGGGCCATGCGGTATGGAGGAATAGAAATAGACTGAGTGCCCGGAACCAAGACAGAAGTCGATATCCCTGTCGGGTGGTATCCCTGGCAGGTCTGCAGGAAACACCTCTGGAAACTCACGAACAACTGGTACTGAATCCATGGAAGGAACCTCCGTACTAGAATCGCGAACATAAGACAAATAATCTAGACACCCCTTCTCGACCATACACCGAGCCTTCATATAAGAGATAACCCTACTGGTAGAATGGCCAAGAGTCCCTCTCCACTCTAATCGAGGCAAACCCGGCAAGGCTAAGGTCACTATCTTGGTGTGACAATCCAATATAGCATGATAAGGTGACAACCAATCCATACCCAAGATAACATCAAAGTCTACCATATCGAGAAGTAGAAGATCTACACTAGTCTCAAGACTCCCAATGGTAACCACACACGAGCGATAAAAATGATCTACAACAATAACATCTCCCACAGGTGTGGACACATACACAGGAGCACTCAAAGAATCACGAGGCACAACCATTTATGAAGCAAAATAGGATGACACGTAGGAATAAGTAGAACCCAGATCAAATAGAACTGAAGCATCTCTACTGCAAACTGAAACAGTACATGTGATAACAACGTTAGATGACTCAGCCTCAGACTTGGCTGGAAAAGCATTGCATCTTGGCTGGGACCCCACCACTCTGAACTACATCTCTAGGAACGGCCCTAGCTGGCTGGCCTCCACCTCTAGCGGCATGACCTTCACCTCTAATGGCCTGACCTCCACCTCTAGCTGTCTAACCCCTACCTCTAGCTGGCTGAGCGGGCGGTGAAGCACCCAGTACCGGGACCATGGCACGAGAACCCTGATGATGTGAGTTGCCCGATGCTTCAGGGCAAAATCTAGCAATGTGCCTCAGATCACCACAAGTATAACAGGACCTCGGCTGCTGTGACTTCTGACCCTGAAACCGACCCTGTCGACCTGAGTAACCACCCTGAAACTCTGGAGCGGAGGTGCACTAATAGGAGCTGGTGGTGCACTGTAAGCTAGCTGGTCGGAATAGGGCATACGAGGGCCACGACCACTTGAGGCACCGTGGGATGCCTGGAATGCTGAATGAAATGGCTTGGGAGGATGGCCTCTACCAAAAGTACCCCTGCCTCCAGATGAGGCATCGCTAAAACCCCCAGAATGACGTGGTCTCTTGTCAGACCCCTGACCTCCCTGAGCAAGAACCATCTTGACTCGCCTGGCGACATTGGCAAGTCCGTCAATAAACCTCCTCCCCTCTCTCTCTCGGTAGGAAGCAGAAGAAGAGCATGACGGGCCAAATCCACAAAACGGGTCTCATACTGGGTAACAGTCATACTGCCCTGTTGGAAATGCTTGAACTGACGACGATGCTCCTCTCTCAATGTGATAGGGAGAAACTTCTCTAGAAAGAGCTGAGAGAACTGGTCCCAAGTAAGAGCAGGCGATCCAGCTGGTCTGGTCAACAAATTATCTCTCCACCATTTCTTGGCGGAACCAATCATCTGAAATGCAGCAAATTCAACCCTATTGGTCTCCACTATACCCATGTTCTGTAGCACCTCATGACAGCTGTCAAGATACTCCCGGGGATTCTCTGAAGAAGCACCACTAAAGTGAACTGGAAAGAGATTCGTAAACATGTCCAATCTCCATAAAGCCTCAGAAGACATAGCTGACCTATCGGCGGCCTGTGCCGCAATAACTGGCTGAACTACTCCGACTGGATGAGCTGCTGGAGTCTGATACTGGGAGCCATCTGCTCCGGAGTG